TTGAGCAACATGATTCCATAACTCTTATCATACAGTTGTTTGGAAATAATCTCACAATGGAGCAACACACAACCAATGTCGTTGCTCATCCTCATTGGCCACTTAATACTTAACGTCAAAGGTTGAAAGCCGTTAGTAGCCAAAGCGGAGACAAGAACCATGGAAACGAGTATATTATCCTATAACCTGCCTAAATATATTCTATAAAAGTTTTTACAAATAATTCCCCCGGCTGATAGGCATCAGTGTGATCTGACGTAAAATGATCATACATTTAATAGCCACAAGTTGTGCTGCTTTGAAGTCATTGTGATAGGTCTATTACAGAGCGCCTTGAACAAGTGTAGCAACAGTTTCAAAGTTAAACACACTAACCTTCCACTATTCAACGTAGAAACACGTAATCCAGAGCTCACACAAAATAGGGGAGTAGGAAACATCTCATATTTAATGTTCTGGTCTTAAAAAATTTCGGCTAACCCCTAACTACTTAATTTAGACTGCCACGAGGTCATGTGGTTTGCACTTTGGCAGCATGGTAAGTCAATAACACTTTACAAGGGCTGTCTGTCTAATCACATAGATGAGTCTACTAATACCAGTTTGTGATCCAAATTACTCAATAATAACAAGCATCCGCAACAAGTCACTCTTGTCCGTGGTTTCGGTACTTCTATCCGGCCTACAAGATTGATGAACTTAAGGGGCTGCATTTGGAAAATATTTTATGTTGAGTGCTCAAGCTAACCAAATCCGAAATAGAGTGCATAAGAAACAGAAGTCACAAGAAAATGTGGGCTCTTGAACACGTACACTAATGTTGGCAAACTAACTACGACTTTAGTAATCAGCTTCATAGTTATGCCGACAACCTCTCAATCTCACGCACTGAAAGTTTCATTATCAGGTTCAATAACAACAAAGGATGACGGGTTGCCGTCACAAACAACCAGAACAATACAATGATCAACATAGGAAAAAACTGAAAAGCAAGCGACACACCTCTGACGTGATCTCCCACACCTTACCATCCCAATGGTTCGCGATAAGAATATATGGTCATATGCAGGCTATGACTGTTTCTGAAGGGTGTGGATGGTGTAAATACTAGTCATAGTAGAAGAATAAGCAATGGTAAACTCCTTGTTGGACTAATTACATGGTCCTTGGCAGTTTGAAGACGTTTTGTAGTGTGTGATATGATACCAGCACCATTTACAGTTTTTGCTGCCATGTGCTTGGAAAGATCTCTCATGTGAAGTTTGCAACTTTTTAGTAGCTTCAAAAGTTAGGGAAGCAGGTTTCTTAGTTATGGAATATGCGATGCGTTTTTCTCATGGAGCACTACAAAGTAGTGAGGTCCCGGATATTCTCCAGAATGCTGATTCATCGATTGTTTCGTTTAAAAATGAAAAAACAAATTTCATTTGTAACATCCCAAGGAAAAAACTCGTTAAAGACAATAAAATGAATATGTACGATATACATATATATCCGGAAGTGAGTAATCTAAGCCAGCGAGCGTTTGTAAGATATGTGTAACACGATGCACCCACTCGTAATCGGATGCGGATTCGTGACAGAGAGCCTTTTACTAGGTGAGTCCAGTAGAACTAATGTGGTCACCAAATGTCGCAGACTTGTGGAGCTATTGATTTTGAGGATTTATTCATTGCTATACGTTAAAATGACGAATAATTTTCTAACATGTCTTTAAGAATAATCACCAATCACTTACCAATGAGGATGTACGGGGTAGAACAGAAATAAAAATAAAAGTTGCCCAGGTGTTTTTTTGCAAATCTGAGTCAATGAAAAATAGGGAAAAGCGCGACAAGGGTTTGGCAGAAAGGTATATATCATTATTGACTGAAGAACGAAATATAAGATTTATAAATTAGCCACATAGGTTGAGAAAGGCTTGTAGTGGATGTCGAGTCGAAGACGGACTATGATCACCACTACAATTCGTTTACGCGCTCAAAAACGACTTGGTTCCTTTGTAAATCAGAAGGCTTTATTAGTCCAGATCAATTGTATTTATTGGCGATCTCGTGGTATCGAAATAATACCGAGACGTGCCAAAGAGTACAGGCGAACAGGCAGTGCGTGAGCAAGTTCGAACCAAACAAGGCGGAGAGCGAAAGCAGAAGTGAAACTGATACAGTTAAACAAATACAGTAAAACAATCTCTGGTACAATTGGTTACAATAATAATAATTGTTTCTATTATTCCAATCGTGTTCTTATCGAGACTGGCCGGTCACTACAGGAGCAACCCGCTAGAAAGGGTTTACACTTTCGATACGTAGCGGTTTCATTCGTGGGACTGATCGCGAAACGTGCAATTGTAGGACGAAAACGTTGGCAGAACAGGGAGTGATCGTTGATCCTCGAGTTGCCACCAAAAGTTTTTGACGTAGAACGGTACCAGAAGGAACGTGCTGTATTGATTGCTTGGATTAGCATGCTACACCAGAGTGGTTTGTATCCAGAATCTGAAGGTTGCGTTCGTAGAGGTCCGGACCAGAAAAGCTGCAGACGTAGGACGAAACCAGATTGAGCCAAGGAACCAGATGCGACCAGGATAACCATGTTCGGGACCAAATGTATACCATACGTATTTGGAACCAGAGAGGTCGACTGAGTGCGTTGACTAGAGCGTGGGTGATCAGGCCAGCTTTCGCCAAAGTTGACTGAAGTCGACGATACCGTAACAGCGATGGTCGAAGGCGTAGGCTCGGAGTAAACACAAAAAAAATGATAGAAAAAGAGAAAAGTGTAGCTTTCTTGTAGTATAGGGGTAGATTCCTATACTGTATCCGTAGTTGGTTATGAGGTTAGTCGAGAAAGCGTACGGGTAAGCGTACTCGGCGACCAGAACGTGAGACGGTAGTCTCGTTCGAACATCGTGAGCCTGCAATCTCATCCGCAGTCAAGGGCGGTGTGGTCTGTAGGTCTGGACGTGAGACGGAAGTCTCGTCCGTAGACGGGGCAGATGACACGTGCTGTTGACTGGGACGTGAGAATGAGGTCTCAGGTGCATCTAGCATGGGATCCGAAGTAGATGTAGAGATCCCGCTAGAAGCTTTGGTGGGTTTAGCATTGGGTCTCGGCTTATCAGGTAGGGCACTGTCATCGACGTGTGCTGGCATGAGACGATCAATGCTGACTACTTTGACACGGCCATGTCGATCAACCTTGAAGGTCTTTTCGTGACGGGAAATCACGTGAGAAGGGCCTTCGTAAGGCTGTTTGCTCAGATTGACCGTAAGTTGTCGTGTACCATAGTTAGGAATGACTGAGTCATCCGCAGCGCGTAGTCGAAGCATCGTAGCTTGAGACTTACTGTTACTGATAGGTACGACAGAAACTTGGGCACCCGTATCCACAAGGTACCTAGCGTTAGTGCGATAATCGTGCACGTATAATAGACGGTCAAACGGAGGTGAAGGGCCGGTGAGTACGGCCGTATTTACTCACCGGCTCGGGAAGTTCCCGTCTTGTATGAGCAGGGAGCCCGACAATGATGGGCACCGGCCCCGAATGCACGGTGGAACCAGCACCAACCTGGACTCGCTTCCGAAACCGCCTTCTGGCGTGGCTTGGAAGATGCCCGCTTGGGGCGAGTCGTTACGGCTGTTCGAGATCGTGACCTGGGTCGGGGGACGTAGGGGGCTGGCACATTTGCGCGGTCTCGGAAACTGAGACGAGTATGGATACATCTGTCCCTATCCCGCATGAGCCGGAGGTCGTCTAGCATCGAGATCAATGTTAGAACGTAGAGGCAACAATATAGTTGTCTTCGGCGCTAACACGTTGTAGAATCTTGTCTGCTATGAGGGCCACCTTGTGCAGTGGGGTGTCCTCGAGCAGGGCCGTAAGGGTTGGCTGGATACTGACTGGAAAGGCTTCGAGCCACAACTCTTTGACTATCTCAGAGTCTGCTGTCGAGTTTCCTGCAAGGGACTGCAGGCGCGTGAGGTGGTGGCTCGGCTTAGCATCACCCATAGGGTGACGTGCTAAGAGAGTCCTCAATCGTTCCTCTCTTGATGGGAGGAAATGTCGAAGGATAGCATCCTTAAGACGGTCGTAAACGTTCGGAACGTTCGGATTGAGGACAACCTCACGGACAGCGGTTAAGTGATCCCCGGGCAATGATTCCAAAGCGTAGGCGTACTTTTGCCTTTGGTTGGTTATGCGGCGGATCTCAAATTGAGATTCCAGTGCCGCGAACCAGACTTCTGGATCATGAGGGATGAAAGGAACCGGTCGAAAGTTGATAACATGTACCTCGGAGTCTATTATATTTATACTACTCTTATCGTTATCCACCATGGTAAGTTGCCAAGATATTATATATTGAAAAAATATCAATACGAATATATGCAACAGAAGTGGATAGATAAATAGACTCACCGGATTGATCTGGCTTGGAGAATTGGCCAAGTTTGACTTGTGCTCGATGGATTGGGTTACCAGCTGTATTGCGTGTTCCAACAACGGCTCACCAGTTGTAGTGGATGTCGAGTAGTGGACGGACTATGATCACCACTACAATTCGTTTACGCGCTCAAAAACGACTTGGTTCCTTTGTAAATCAGAAGGCTTTATTAGTCCAGATCAATTGTATTTATTGGCGATCTCGTGGTATCGAAATAATACCGAGACGTACCAAAGAGTACAGGCGAACAGGCAGTGCGTGAGCAAGTTCGAACCAAACAAGGCGGAGAGCGAAAGCAGAAGTGAAACTGATACAGTTAAACAAATACAGTAAAACAATCTCTGGTACAATTGGTTACAATAATAATAATTGTTTCTATTATTCCAATCGTGTTCTTATCGAGACTGGCCGGTCACTACAGGCTCTTCACGCCAGGTTATGTTGTGATATGATGATACTTAATAAAACTCCCTCAATGATTAGTGGCCAGTAAAGTTCTGAGTACTTCCAGAACACCTGATCTGAGAGAGTTACCTAGCATTACACCCATCTATTCAAAAAATCAACTAACTATAAATAGCTGTTTAAATATACAACGGTCATATTTTTAGACCAGATTTACTAAATTCATGTGAAAACATCAAACCTTAACACAAGATCAAGCTGCAAACATGAATGTAACTAGCTTTATGAACCCCGTAATTACATTTGTTATTGATAGAACTGACTACACTCAAATCCTCAAGGTCGCTCCCAATTATGCCTAGTATAAGCAGCGGGTGATTAGATCCTCCTGCTAAAATGTGATATATGATGTGTTCTGCTAAAGTTGCCGACGTTATTCCAGCGGTTGTTGCTTGGAGTCTTATAGTAGGTATTACGGCGGTCTACCTCACCTTCATGTAACACAATTTATACCAATAATATTCACTTTTAAATAGTTGCTTCCAGTTCGCTGCAACTTACTCTTGGTCCATATTTGTTCTACATGCTATCCTAGTTTTCTATGTGTTATGTTGTCTAACACGAACAACTTTCATGGACCCTGGTTATTTCCCTTTCGGTAGGTGATCTCTTTTTGTTTATACCTCCTCAGCAACGGAAGGAGAAGCTGAATATGAGGAAACCAAATCTGCCCCTGTTCATCGTGAATATAATATTAACGGAGTATTAGCCAAGGTCAAGTGGTGCAGTACATGTTTGTTCTACCGTCCCCCAAGGTGTTCACATTGCTCTATTTGTAACCGGTGTGTGGATGTAAGCATCAACTTAATTATATTACTCCTTGGTAGACTTTTGATCACCATTGTCCTTGGGTCAATAACTGTATTGGAAAGAGAAACGCGCGTTACTTCTTCATGTTCTTAATTTCGCTTACACTCCATATGATTGCTGTGTTTAGTATAACCCTCGCATCATTATTACTTAACGATCAGCCAATCATCTTCTATACAAATATTATACGGTATCCTTTGTGTCACATGAGTGTGTTTTCTTCATACTTTCCTTCCGTAGTTCTGTGCGTCTTTGTTTTTGCTCTCATAGGAATACTAAATATACATGGTTGTCATTTAGCATCGATAAATTCTTTTACATTAAATCTTTGGGTATTTGTCGTTTTAATTATTTATCGCATCAACTAATGTTAAAGAAGTGGACTAACAGCAATTCAGATCATCTTGCTTCTCTACTTATTTGGCTATGAGACAACTTGGGTGTAATTATTTGAAAGGTCTGGAGATATTAAATCTGCTTGTAGCTGCCGCCTAAATTTTAATAAGAGTAAATATCCATGCCCCTAGAAACTCCTATCCAAGTCACTTTGACACCACAACGTTAGTCTAACCGCAAAATACCGGGTGTTGGCTGTTCTGACCTGTGTTCATCAAAACTGACCTCTTTACGTTTAATGATTTTTTTCTATCATCATTGTCACCGAGGGATTAGTTGTACGCAGAACCAACACAGTTTATGAAATAATGCAGCATATTGAATTCATAGTCATCTTAGTTCGGCAGCAACTTCCATGTGGGATCGTAGCGGTCATCCAACTTAGTGGCCTTTGAAGTCATAGTATTTAGAATTAGTGGCGACTCTGCAGCATATGTAGTTGGTTGTACATTTAGGAGTTTAGAGTGGTGACTTATTAAAAAAACACCTGTATTTCAATCATTGTGATCCGAACCCCGTGCCATCCATTTCGGTTTGAGGAGCTATGTAGTATCCATAGACTTGACAGAGTGTGGCTCGAATGTAAGCACAAACGCGTAATTGGCTACCTCTGGTGGAAGTACGGTCTTTATTGACTATCGTTCGTAATTGAGGTGTGGCCCCCTAAGAAAACCACCTGCTTCAGTCTGGGCACCTGGGCAGTATCTCAGCCCTCACACAAATCAAATGAGATTTGTGAGGCGCATATTTATCTGGTGCTTTTTGTACCAATATTTATGTGTTTAAATAAAATAATAAATAATAATAATCGTTCGTAATGTTGCATTTAGTGTTATGATTTTTGCCAGTTTTTTACGACTTGAAGTTTAAGAAATTATCACACTTGATTCAGGTTTTGCTGTGCCAAACATATTCGTGTTACACAAATGAAATATGTATTTTTCGACAATTTAGCCTGTTTTTACCTACTCTCTTAACAATTAAGTATAACCTTATCAGCTTTTTAGCGGTATTCTTAGCGTTGGAAATCCTACTTAACTACAAGCGTCATAAAACCTGATTTTTTCTGATTAGATATGAAAGATTAGATATAAAAGCCAAAAATTAAAAATTTGAGACCAACCGTCTCTATTGAACGTCCTTTATATCTAAGATGATAGTATCAGCAGTATCTCTAAAAAATGTGAAAAAGTTACATCGACAATGTTTAATTTACTCAAATGTCAAATTTTTGTCATATTTGACCTGTTTCCTAGCACTACTTTTTATTCAGTCTTGTTTATTTTGCCACCTTAACTCACTGTCATAGAATTATTACACTTTCTCTAGTCGGTGTTAGTTTTATTCCGGTTTTTGGACTAACTTCATTCCACATATATCTAATATCCCGAGGAATGACAACCAATGAACAAGTTAGTTATTTTTCAATATTTTCCTTAATCGTTCTACATGTTTTTTTCTTTTAAAATGAAAATTAGCAATTTTGTTCTGATAGTAGTTGATCAGGCTCAAGAGAGTGTGAAATATATTTAGTTACGACTTGAGGTTTTTCAACAGACGATTCGATGCACAAAAGCAGGTAGTAATTACTGTTATTTTGTTAATCCGGTGAAATATTCTAGTGAATCCTTCTTAATTGTTTTTTTAAGGGGGGTATACATGATCATGATACTATAATACGATACGCTTCTCTACCAATGTTTCTCCATTCAAGTACCAAGTGCTTGCTACTCCCCTTTATTGAATAATCATGCCTGTTCCCAAAATAGTTAAGTCACTGGGGTTTACAACTTTTTGCCATTTGATTTTACAATTAAGTCACTGTAAACATAATTTTTAGTTGGATTATAGGGTTGACAAAATTATACACGTGCTAATCTCACATATAATTATGTACAATTTTAATGTGCCATTTAAGTTACTTATGCAGTTATCAATGAACAGTATATTTAACACTACTCATACTATGTGGCACCACTTATATCTTGCATTCCTCTATAATTCATCTTTGCTATAGAGAAGATTGGGCTGGTTTAATCGATTTGTCTTGGGATAAAAGTGAACTGAGGACACAATATTTTAAGAATAAGGTCATCACTTCACCACCTTTTTGCTCCTTCTTCTCTATATTCCTACCCAAGGACAAAAGTGATCCAAAATGTCATCAAGTAGTGTACCAGCGTACCTACAAAAGCATGACGACCAGAATGTGTTCTGAGTTTTTACTATAATGTCAAGTATTTCTTACCATTTTGTCCCGTTCTATCAATAATCACATAGGATCGATTGTTGACGCTAGTGATCAATGCATTTGAAACTTAATAACTTCGTTCTTGACAAGTTTCCATCAAAGTCGTGGAGTTTTACAAGTAAAAATGACAATTTATCTTCTGCTCTTGGCCTAAAGATGAACTTATTTCATCTCCAGTTCATTTGTTGTGTTCTAAGATTAATAGAAAAGTATCATCAACGCTGATTTAGATTTAAGGTTATCCACTTGTAACATTATAAAACTTACATATTTGAAGAAATGTTTTGCTACTTTCAACTGATAAAGGTTTAACTGTCCAAATTCTTTCAGACATTAGTTTTCGCCTGACGACATTTACTTTAATCTTCAAACCCTGAAACTAATATTTGTGTTTCATAATTCTCCTTATTTTTATCTAATAATCTCATTCTGCATTATAATATATATGTTGTTGTGACTGAGGCCTTTGAAAAGATATGAAATTTAAAAAAAATCACATTTGAAAGGAAGACAACTTCTGAAGCATGTGGATTAGACGCAGAATAAACATTCTTGTGTAGTTGTGTGCAACCATTTTCAGTAGTAATTATTTCCCCTATTCCGTAAATTTCGCTAGGTCCTTCACAATATGACTGTTGATTGAATGTTATTAAAGTAAATTATTTTCCCCTGTAAATGTTTATTTATTTTACGAACTGAGTATATTCCATGTAATTAAAGGTGTGAACTACTTGACAATGTATTAAGTTTGAATGGCATAGCTTAAAATCAGTCAGTAATCCAGATGCATTCATTATTTTCTTTTTCCCTTAATTTTAAACTTCAATATTCTTTTTCCTTTACCCCTAATATTTTGTTCCTTTTTTCTGCTTTACTTATAACTGTCTGATTAACAGCACGTATTCAACAGTCATCTGTTTGATTCACAATGTTTCTACCAGTGTTATTCCTCATGATGATTAAATCTGTGCCTTTGTAATAAATATAAACCCTCCCAAACAGATCTCATTATATAAGATATTAATTAATTCTACCCCAAATGCCCTGGTACGGCCGAGAGTGGGGAGAGTCCGCTCTCCCTCTCCAAATGCTCTCACATGGCCAGCGAATATATAGCCTCTGTCAGGGAAGTCCTACTCACCGCCTTCTCGTGGCATTACTGTTGTTTACGAAATTGAGAGGACGAAAAGCGAATGTCCGGCGCTTTAATCGGGTTGGTGGATGTGGAGTGTCCACCTAGGGGAGTTGGAAAACCCTGATTCCAAACCAATGGTGCACATGGGCTCCAATATCCTGAAGGAACAAATGGCGTACGAATCAATCGTTGATCACCGACTACCATGGGACTGCATCTCCTCACGATGCTCCACTGCCTTGTGGATCAGATCTTTCGGTCAAAGGCTCCGGGTGTGGGCCCCTAAGAAAACCACTTGGACAGTATCACAGCCCTCAAGCAAATCGAATGAGATTTGTATGGCGCATATGTATATGGTGCTTCCTTGTACCAATATTTATGTGTTTAAATAAATAAATAAATAATCAGTAGTAATTTGACTTGCTGCTTAACTGTAAAACAACTTTAAGTGATATACTCTAAAATGAATATTTCCTGAAAATTATCAGCTTTTTATGCCATAAGGTACTATGTAATTGTTACCCTCATAAACAGCTAATAATTTCCACTAAGTTTACTAAATCACCTAAGCTGTCTCAATTATGTCTTCTACTTTGACATGGCCGTCGGGCTTGTCTATTATGATGACTTAACCAGATTATATTGGCAGGAACGTTTGTCTCCTCAAGTCCTACCACCCCAGACAATTTGGCTAGAGAACAGTAAGACTAAAAGCTGTAACTCGATGTTCAAAGGTGAAATCGCACTGCTGACTGCACAGGAGTGTAACGGCAGTAGGATGTTTCTTTCAGATAACCAACATTCACAGTAATGCTTTGTTCTAACAACGTATGGAAGGGATTAGTAATAGTCTGTCCTAAGAATGCCACATCTCACTTTACCCCATGGATCTGCATCGCTAGTAGTATGATCTTAGAAGTACGGGGCTAACACATTGTTATTATTATTATTATCGTCACTATTACTTGCAAATATGTCAAAACATTCAGATGTGTAACTACTTTGTTCACAAAAGATACATCTCGTTTACGTTATTACTGCTACTATTACTTTTTTCCCTCCAATTAGGTTACAGATAAATTTCGTGGACTGTTAAATCCATTTACACTGGGTTGTTTACTGAACTGGCGGAGGTTTTGTTGTGAACCTCAATTTCCTCGGTAAGTATAATTAAGTGTTTAAATCGTCCTATCAATAAATGAATAAAATTTAGCTGATTGATCACCGAGTAGTGACCAGTATTATGTTAGACTTATCCTTTTAGTAGTGACCAAAGGTCAATTGAAGATTGAATAGCTCAGTAGTATTATATCAGACTTGAGCCGAATGCGACAGGATCGAATCCATTAGAAAGTAGCAGTTCTCTTAAGGACTACAGGTACATTTTGCTATCGAGTGTTTAATTGTACAAAACATAGGTCCAAGATTTCCTATCGGCTACCTCCAATACTTAACATCTGAAATAATAAAATATTTATCAAAAAAGACCTGATATGTTTATAATTTCATGGTCTCACAAATAATTGCAGATGGTTTTTATTAGTTGCTTTTCCCTCTAACTGTTTAAACGGAAGTTTTTCCTGTTAAGATCACAAACAAGCCTAAGTTAGACAAACACTGAAAACCAGAAAGAATTGTACAACTGTTTTACCATGGCATGGTACTTCATAGTGGCTCGTCGATCCGAACTAGGTAGAGGCTGCGAATTTTCTCTGCTTTTAACGACTGGAATGTCTTAAGTATACTCAACAACCCCCTACCTTGGTGCTCAATGCTGAATAGATGCTGTAGCCCGTTGGAAAAAGGCTAGATACAAACAAATCAAGATTTGACACTATTTCATGAAGACATTGGTCTGAACTGTGTGTAGACATTTAGACCACCGGATCTTATTCCACTGTGTAACGATAGTTCATGTCTGGAAAACTTAAGTGATATGACTTAAAATCATTTTCGGTAACACAGATCCACTCATTCTTTGTCTTCCCCCAAATACTGAGTCCCAAGATTATTTCATGATTTTTCTTGTATTGTGTTCTTTTTTTCGAGTAATATTCTCAGTGTTTAGTTCCTCCTCCTATCATTAGTGCTGTTATTAATCCAACTCTTTCGTTGTACACCTTGTTGATATCCACTCACTGTTAATATGGTGTTGCAGCTTTAGTCGATAAAAATTCACGCCATGTTTCGTGTCAGTACAAGGCCTATAAATTAAGTTTAACAGCCAAGTCTTAACTGATTTAAGAATGAGTAGCCCAAAATACTGATTTACTTCATTCACCTATGACAATTTATCATGTTTATTTTGTGTTAGTATTTTGTATATGATCATCTATTAGATTAAAAATACCTATTCTTTTAGTTGGTGGTTTTGTTTTGATGACTACCAACTGAACAATTGGGACAGAGCCTCTCTAAATTTTCATTCAATTTACTCCTACTCGACCTTTCATTATATGAACAGGTAGGTGGTGATTAGGCTTACTTAACGTTATACTCTAGCCACCTCAATCGATAAGAATTAACTAGCCTCATCTTCCGATTTCCCATCTTTCCTTAGCTTCCTATGCCTAAACTCAGCATTATTGATTTTATCGTCCCACGATATATCAGCAATTTATGGAAGATATGTATGATGTTTATAATTTTGCTATACATTTTAAAGTGATTTCCATGATAATTTACATGATTAAAACCTGTAGAAAAAAAGTATATCCTTCTTTTATTACCTGCATCGTTGTTACAATCAGTTAACATTTATAGTAGACTAAAGATTTTTCCATTCAATTTAAACAATACTTATTGGTATATATGTCATTTTGTATGTCAATAAATCAGTACTATCTACCTTTTTTTTAAAAAAGCTATTCGATTGATAATATTGATAATTATTTCATATTCTGATAAACGTAATCAAATTCATGAATTTAATGGAACTAGGTTACTCAATACAGGTCTATGTTTATTATTTATTTATTTAAACACATAAATATTGGTACAAGGAAGCACCATATGCATATGCGCCATACAAATCTCATTCGATTTGCTTGAGGGCTGTGATACTGTCCAAGTGGTTTTCTTAGGGGCCCACACCCGGAGCCTTTGACCGAAAGATCTGATCCACAAGGCAGTGGAGCATCGTGAGGAGATGCAGTCCCATGGTAGTCGGTGATCAACGATTGATTCGTACGCCATTTGTTCCTTCAGGATATTGGAGCCCATGTGCACCATTGGTTTGGAATCAGGGTTTTCCAACTCCCCTAGGTGGACACTCCACATCCACCAACCCGATTAAAGCGCCGGACATTCGCTTTTCGTCCTCTCAATTTCGTAAACAACAGTAATGCCACGAGAAGGCGGTGAGTAGGACTTCCCTGACAGAGGCTATATATTCGCTGGCCATGTGAGAGCATTTGGAGAGGGAGAGCGGACTCTCCCCACTCTCGGCCGTACCAGGGCATTTGGGGGCTAAATAGGAACAATAACGGGGCGGACTTGCATGCATATAGCAAACAATTCTTTTTGAACCTAGTACAGGTCTATGTATCCTCTCACTTCGGAGTCATATTTCTTGTATGGTGTCTAATGATATATTCCCAGCTCATTAACAAAATGATGACTCTTAATACTGCTACTGCTCACTGACTTGTGTTCTGCTTCTCAACTCCACCACAACAGACACTTTTTATGGTATACCAAACCCACTATGCAAGTAAGAAAACCGGAATGAGTGGGAAGGGTTTGATAGGAAAACCAAATTATGATGCACACATTATTGGTATATATATATATAAACGTGATTTGATTTGTGTTAATTTGCGTTTTAACTTAATAATTTTTCCTGCCTTTTTCTCATTTCTTTTAAAACACTGCATGTCAACAGTCGTTATTTGGAAGTAGATTCAACCAAATCCCATCGTATTAGATGTTTTAAATTGAGAAAAAGTAGATTTAGCAAATTCAATCATTTAATGATTAGTAGCGGTGGCGCTGGTCCCAGGAGTACCGATGATGCCGTTACCAATACATACACAGAATCAAATCATAAACTACTCATGGATCATATACATAGTAAAACTATCAATGATGATATTAATCATAATTATAGTACTGAGAACGACACTATGCTCGACAACACTGATACTAAAATGCCTAATACCAACAATAATATATTCTATGACAAAAAATCAATTGGTGGTGGGAAATATTTATACACTTTAAAAGTTCCACAAAACCATTCACATAATCATCCACGTCAACAGTTAACTAGTCAGAATCAGGATAGTACTCGATCAACAAATCAATTGATACCACGTGGACCATTAGTTTATGACAATGAAGAACCATTATCTTCGATTATTAATAATTTAACATCGAATCGTAATAATGTAACGACAACAGCGATAACAACAACAACACAGACTGGAAATCATAGATTACAAGGTAATAATGATACTTGCTCAATTAATGAACAAAATCTACCATGTACCAATGCTAGGGTATGTTAAAGTGGATTTCTTTTTGTTTGTCTGTTCGTTTTACTACAAGTTTTTTATTGTCAAATATGAGTATTATTATCAGAAGGGGTTTTTGTGGAGATTTAGTATGTTCATAGTTGAAAGCGTGGCTGACTTCGAGAGGTAAATCTAGTAGTTCTAGTGAGAAGCAGTGACCAGTGAAGTTCAAACCAGGCCTGTTGTGAGATAGAAACTCACTGAAGACAATTGGTGAACGGTTGCTCAACTTCGTGGATTGGTTGGAGTTAGACATAAACACCATCCTATGCCGACTCACTGGTCTGTTGGTTAAGTGCTCTGGCGCGAGACTGGTAGGTCCTGGATTCGAATCTCGCGAGGCGAGGTCGTGGATGCTCACTGCTGAGGAGTCCCACAACAGGACGAAACGGCCGTCCAGTGATTCCAGGGTTTCCATGGTGGTTTAGTTTCAATTGACTCACGCTTTCAACTATGGAAATATGAGTATGTTATATTTTTTTACCGGTTTAGTAGTAATATACATACCCATATATATCATACTTTATCCAACGGTTATCCAATATGAGGTTATCAAGACATTTTGTTTTTGTAAAATCTGGTACACAATAATCGTATTCCTTCCAATATACCCTCCGTATTTTTATTGATTCATTTGTTCCATCTGTATTTTTATTGTTTAAAACAAAAGTATTCACGAGTTATATATATAACAACTATTCATTGTCCCTGATTATTTGGTGGCCATTCAAACGTTCATCAAATAAACCGTGTAAAATAGTTTCTGTCCAAATTATTTTTAATATTATTTCCAGTGAATAATTGAATGATGCTAATTAATTAATTTTTATTGAATAACACGTACTTCATTTCATAAAAAAGTACTTTAAAAATACTCCTAACAACTAGAAAAATATTTTAGTATATTTAACATTTATTTAGCCCCCAAATGCCCTGGTACGGCCGAGAGTGGGGGTAGTCCGCCCTCCCTCTCCAAATGCTCTCACATGGCCAGCAAATATATAGCCTCTGTCAGGGAAGTCCTATTCACTGCCTTCTCGTGGCGGGTGTGTTATTTACGAAATTGAGAGGACGAAAAGCGAATGTCCGGCGCTTTAACGGGGTTGGTGGATGTGGAGTGTCCACCTAGGGGAGTTGGAAAACCCTGATTCCAAACCAATGGTGCACATGGGCTCCAATATCCTGAAGGAACAAATGGCGTACGAATCAATCGTTGATCACCGACTACCATGGGACTGCATCTCCTCACGATGCTCCACTGCCTTGTGGATCAGATCTTTCGGTCAAAGGCTCCGGGTGTGGGCCCCTAAGAAAACCACTTGGACAGTATCACAGCCCTCAAGCAAATCGAATGAGATTTGTATGGCGCATATGTATATGGTGCTTCCTTGTACCAATATTTACGTGTTTAAATAATAATAATAATAATAATAATAATAATAATAATAATAATAATAACACTTATTTAGCTAGCAATGGAATCTAGGATTTGCACTTCATCTTATTTGGAACTCATCTGTTGTATATGTATTTCCATGGTAGTTTTAATTCTCACATTGAAACTTGAATCTAGCGATTTTCATTTCAAATACCGACATTTTATCGATTGTGCTACTGAGTTCAAGTAGTCACTAAATTGTTCAATGGGTCAGTAGGTCTTAGTAAAAATTTATAATTTACTACTGTTGACGTTCAAGACTATAATTGACCAGTCTCTGTAGCTCAATGAATAACGTACTGATGTTTGAAGTAAAAATTACTAGATTCAAGTTTCAATGTGAGCATTAACACTGAGATGCAGATACATCCAGCTGACAAAGTCTAAAATAGGTCGAAACGCGCCTCCTGGATTCCAGCGCTAAAACTTTTAACCGAAGGTGGGCATATAAGAGTAATCCGTTTATGATCAAAATATGACAACAGCGACTGATCAATTTCACTACTGGAATATCAGCAGCGGTGAATTACAAACCCTTGTAAATAATACTGGGGATGATTGTTTGTATCAGGTAGTAGTTCAGTAATTAAGTCACCTATTTTCTAACCATTTGGTTGTATGTCGCGAGCCCAATTTTATTTACTTCAGTTTGGGGGCGGGGCTGGTAGTATCATTAGATTTCACACAAAAATATATTTGTCAAAGACAAGTACAAATAAAAACTGTTCATTACCTCACTTAGTTTACCAGTCCTAACCCCATTCACTTAATAACGATCACCTGTTATATAAAAACTGCTTATTTGAAGTTATCATTCTATCATAGTATGTTGTATAATTTCTTTAATCTGATACACTCATTCATTATCTTACCTTAAATCTTAATTTCCAATATTATTTCATCACTTCTTATTCCGATATTTCACTAATAGTGCGGTTGCTCAGTGGTTAAGGTATTCAGTTCTACCTACTCCTTGATTTTTGTATGGGCTGTGATACTGCTCGGGTGCCCAGATCGAAGCAGGTGCTTTCCTCAGAGGGCCACACCCGGAGCTTTCGACCTAAAGGTCTGATCCACAAGACAGTGGAACATCGTAAGGAGATGCAATCCCATGGTAGCCAGTGACCAACGATTAATTCATACGCCATATGTTCCTTCAGGATGCTGGAGCCCATATGCATCATTGGTTTGAAATGGGGGTTTTGCAACTCCTCTTGGTGGGTCCTCCGTATCCACCAACCCGGTTAAAGCCTTGGACATTTGCTTCTCGTCCTCTCAATTTCATAAACAACACCCATGGTTCGAGAAGATAGTGAGTAGGACTACCCTGACAGTGATTATATGCACGTGGCCACTTGAGAGTATTTCAAGAGAGAAAGGGCTCTCCCCAGGGTATTTGGGGCTAGTTAAAAAACTAATTTAAAACTGATACTTCGAGTAGATGGGAATAATACATGTAGCTTCTACACTTAGGTGTAAAGTCTTAGAGCGAACAACATTGAATTCGAAAGGTTTGAGTCACGTATTTGAACGGAGAATGGACATGATACTTAGATATATCAAAAGATTTCTCCGAATATCCTTATTGAATGACAGGAATACGAAAAGCATGATTCAGTTCCCACCTTTAAATACTAACATTCACACAAGCACATATGACAACTATCGAGAAAAAAGCTTATGATTAGAAGTGGGTTAATCAGTATATACTGACTAAGTTTCCGTAACAGAGAACAGGATTAATCTAAAGACAGTTTATAGATACGAAGAAAACCTAGAATCCAGATAAGTAAATTGCAAGGACTTGAAGAAAGAGATGGAAGAAAGCACCCAGCTAAGAGAAAAAGTAATGAATGATTAAGGAAGATTTCCGTATAAAAGAACTACTTTAACGCAAACAAAATCTCAGAAAAATCAAAAATGTTAAATTCAATTGGTGTGCTTGCAAAATACAATACTATTCTTTAAATACAAGTCTTCTTCAGTTTGGTAAGTTTTAGATTCCATACTTTTGTACCGTCAGATGCAAGAATGTAAAGTAAAATACTGTGTAGACCCTTATTTGACTTGCTACTGAGTCCCGCGAAATCGGTCACCAGCTTAACTTTCGTATGCTTTCCAAAAAAGTGCTCAGTGAAAAATTTAGGTACAAAAGTAGTGGGATTACGTAAGTAAAAAAACATGGGTCTAAACAATATATGGTTCTATATGCCCAAACCTACCCTAACTAAATATTCAGTGTAACAAAAACGTACGAAATAAACAAATCGTGAAGAGCTATAAATATAAACCGTTATATCTAGTAAAACAGTATATAATGAAAAGCAGCAGCATGTACAATCATACGGCTCAAGAAAGCATCCGCTAACACACTGCAACACAAGTACCATGTACTTAATCATTTGATACACTTGACTCAATTATTCGATCGTTCTTTGATCGAGAACTAGATATAGACAAAAACATTAGTTTATTGATACAAGTACACAGCATTCAGCGAATGAAGCCAGAAGTGGGATGAATTCTACATTATAAAATAGTCCCTTATATGTAATGTGACTAAACATGTTTGTCTATAGTCATTCACCAATCACAGGTCGTTGCGATTGGACAATATCTAGATTTGTGCCTACTATAATTTATGGACGTATCATTCAGATTTAGTTCTAAATTTATTCATCCGTATGGCTAAATTGTAGTTTGGCACTACATCTGGTAACAGTTCGTGATGAAAACCCCAATTATAATTCGTAACCTTGGTTTGTAACTCTAAATTCTAGTCCTAATTCCTCACACCAATTCCCAATCCTATTTCGACCCTAGTAAGTGAGGTTTCTCACGGCCACCTTCGTAACACTTGAGTCTTCCATAAATTTTGGTCTCACCTGTTATTTCACTTGTTTATAAAATATCAATCTGGAAGTCCTACTCACTGCCTTCTCGTGGCGGGGGTGTTGTTTACGAAAGTGAGAGGACGAAAAGCGAATGTTCGGCGCTATAACCGGATTGGTGGACACGGAGGGTCCACCTAGGGGAGTTGGAAAACCCTGATTCCAAACCAATGGTGCACATGGGCTCCAGTATCCTGATGGAACGAATGGCGGAAGAACCTGCTGTTGGTCAACGGCAACCATGGGACTGCATCTCCTCACGATGCTCCACTGCCTTGTGGATCAGACCTTTAGGTCAAAGGCTCGGGGTGTGGTCCCCTAAGAAAACCACCTGCTTCGGTTTGGGCACCCGGGCAGTATCACAGCCCACACACAAACAAATGAATGAAATTATAAACTTTATTGACGATATCCCTGGTCATACTAAAAGCAAAACAATTAACATTATTATTATTATTACCTTTATTATTATTATTATTATTATTATTATTATTATTATTATTATTATTATTATTATTACTTACCATATCGCTAATTCACCCCCTTTTATCCCCAATTTGTGTAACCTTACTCTTCAACTTATGCAGCAGCTCGCTCTTGGTGGAAAATCTGTCCTATCTAAACGATCTCCAGTCACTGTCTGGTTGAAAGTGAATGCTTCCACCGATTATGAATACTGAGGCAGTCTTTCTGAAACCACGTACGCCGTTCAAGCTGGCTTCCTTCAACGTTCGCACACTAATGCAGATCAGACAACAGATAGGGCTGGCTATGTCTTTGGAAGGTCTTAATGTTGACGTTTGTTGTCTATCCGAGACCCGTATTCAAGACTCTAGTGAAGTACTACAAATCCGCTCTCCATCTGTCGCCTTGAAAAGCTTGTTCCACGTGCGCTTATCCGGGGACCCTGTGGCATCTTCGTCTGGTCTTGCTGGCGTTGGTGTCGCACTAAGCGCTAGAACTGAGGCAGCACTAATCGATTGGATCCCCATTAACAGTCGGTTATGTGCTGTTAGATTAGAAAGTTCCATCAAAGTGAGAAGAAATCGGCGTGAGAAACGGTGTCTTTTCGTCATCTCCGCCTATGCCCCGACAGATTGCAGCCCGGATGCAATCAAGGATGAGTTTTACCATCAGTTAACAGTTCTTCTCCAGAAAGCGCGTTCGACAGATATTGTAGTACTAGCCGGAGACTTGAATGCACAGGTCGGGCGTCTAGGCACAGAAGAGAGTCGTCTAGGTGGCCGATGGGGACTTGTTGGTCTCAGGACAGATAACGGGGACCGTTTGCTGCAACTGTGCACAGACCACAACCTGTTTCTGGCCAGCACTAACTTCCGGCACAGTCATCGCCGGTGTGCCACCTGGCGTCCTCCCTCTGCATCCCAAGCCTGGACTCAGATTGATCACATCGCGATCAGCTACCGCTGGAGTGGTTGTGTACAAGACTGCCGCTCCTTTTGGAGTACCTATCTGGAGTCTGATCATGCCCTGGTCTGCGCCAATCTCACCTTACTTTTCAGTGGCCGAAGGATTGACCACCACCAACGGATTGATATTAGTAAACTGGCTGCAACTTCTGTTGCAAGTAAGTATCGAGCGGAGCTAGCCTCTAGGCTAGCTACCACCCCACCGAAAAGTATAGGTAAGCATTGGTTGCATCTTCATGACGCCATGAAAATGGCGAGTAAAGCCGCTTGCGGCTTCGCGAAACGTCCCGCTTACAAGCACTGGGTTTCTTCTGGCTCCTTACAACTGATGGAAGCCCGTCGGTCTACTCCGGGTGACCGTGAGTTTGACCACAAACGAAGGCTGTTACGTAATGAAATCGGGCAAAGCTTGTGTAAGGACCGGGAAGCCTGGTGGTCGGAGCGTGCTAATGAGATGGAAGCAGCAGCTGCATCTGGTAACTGCCGGAAGCTCTTCCAACTCATCCGAGCCACTGGCAGCAAGAAGTCTGGTGTGAGTGAAACAATCTACGAGGATGACGGGATGCCAATCACTAACATCTGTCGACGTCTTGGACGATGGGCGGAATTTTTCGAAGGGCAGTTCAACTGGCCTGCTGCTCCGGCAACATCAACCAGCTTGTCCTGCTCCCCATGGCCGGTGACGACTGATCCACCAAACGAGGCGGAAGTCCGCAAGGAACTCCAACTCTTGAAACGTTATAAATCACCTGGCCCAGATGACTTACCTCCGGCTCTTTTTAAAGATGGTGGTGACTTTCTGGCTAAGGAACTGACTGCGTTGTTTGGAAAGGTTTGGGAGCAAGAAAGTGTTCCAACATTTTGGAATGAGTCAATAGTCGTCCCTATCTTTAAAAAGGGTTCACGTTGTTCCTGTAGCAACTATCGGGGGATAAGTCTACTTTCGATCGCGTCCAAACTATTGGCTTCTATCATTCTTCGTAGGTTGTTTAAAACCCGAGAACGATTGACTCGCGAGGAGCAGGCTGGTTTTCGTTCTGGTCGAGGATGCATTGATCACATCTTCACCCTCCGCCAAATGTTAGAACACCGTCATACTTATCGCAGGCCAACAATCGTAGTGTTTCTTGATATCAGGGCTGCCTTCGATTCGTTGGACAGGACTGTTCTCTGGGATTGTCTATTGAAGAAGGGTGTGCCTGAGAAGTTCATTAACATCTTAAAAGCCCTGTATACGAACACCTCAGGCAGAGTGAGGGCATACAACCACCTTTCTCCCTTGTTCCATTCGAGCAGTGGGGTTAGGCAGGGTTGCCCGATCTCCCCATTCCTCTTCAACTTTGCCATCGACGACATCCTAGAAACAGCTCTGATGGATGTAAGTAATGGCGGTGTGGATATGTTGCCTGGAGAACGACTTCTCGACCTCGAGTATGCGGATGATATTGTCTTACTGTGCGATAATGCCCAAGACATGCAATCAGCACTTAATCAGTTGGCAATCAGTGTCCGCAGGTACGGCATGTGCTTTGCACCCTCCAAGTGCAAAGTACTTCTACAAGACTGGCAGGATTCTCATCCTGTACTCACCCTGGATGGTGAGGAGATCGAAGTAGTTGAGAAGTTCGTGTATCTAGGTAGCTATATAAGTGCTGGTGGTGGCGTGAGTGATGAGATTGATGTACGCATAATGAAAGCCAGAGCGGCTTATGCCAATCTGGGCCATCTTTGGCGCCTTCGTGATGTTAGTCTGGCTGTAAAAGGTCGGATCTACAACGCGTCGGTGAGAGCAGTTTTGCTCTATGCTTGTGAAACCTGGCCTCTCCGAGTTGAGGATGTTAGACGTCTCTCTGTGTTCGATCATCGTTGTCTCCGAAGGATTGCTGACATCCAGTGGCAACACCATGTTAGTAATGCAGAGGTTCGGCATCGTGTGTTCGGGCGCAGAGACGATAATTCAATTGGTGTCACCATCTTGAAACACCGACTTCGGTGGCTCGGACATGTTTTACGAATGTCGTCCCAGAGACTTCCGCGTCGTGCATTATTTGCCGACCCTGGGACTGGTTGGAGAAAGCGGAGAGGAGGTCAGTGTATGACATGGTGTCGTGGCATGAAAGAGAGCTGCAAAGGGCTAGCTTCCGTTGGTCCTTCACGACTCCCTGGTTGGGGTCCGAGAGATAGTGCAACACAGTGGCTAGAGACGTTATCGGATATGGCTCAGAATAGAAGCCTGTGGCGATCCTGCTGCAACCTTCTTTTACTTTCTACATAAAGAATGGTTCTAACTTTCCTAACTGAAAGAATCTTCTGGTTGTACATTTCAGCCCGCCTTATCTTTTCATCCTTTATCTACCTACTTTCATTATTTTGTGTGGCGCATATGTACATGGTGCCCTTTTGTACCAATATATATGTGTTTAAATAAATAATCTGGAATCAATCCTAAAGTTAGTCATACAAGCTTATATTATGCAAAAAATACATGTCAAAAGGGTGGAAAATTATCTTTATCACCATTCATCTTTTTTCCTGTTTTTAGCCATCCGCTGATTCACTCGGTACTTTAGACAGTGCATATCAACCACATCATCAAAATTCATGTAATAACAGCGGTAAAGTATTGGTAGACACTGCCAGTATTAGTCTTTCAGGTTGGAGTGAAGATGCAGTTTCACTGAAAACATTAGATCGTCTTATCGGTATTACACGTCATCATCATCCAACGATTGGAGGAAATGACAGTGCGATTGCCACAAGTATTGGTGGGGGTGGGGGTGGTGGAGGAAGTAGTGGCCCAACTTATTTAACTGTTGAACGTATTCAAGAAAATGGTGAATCATTAATTGATTCTTCAACTTCCGTTCTTGATCGAAATATCCCAACTGATCAAGATTCAACACAATTTTTTAATTTTAACGGTCCACATATAAATGGTTATACGGGTATATTACCTACTTCTACAGCTGATTCAATCAGTCAACATTTTACACATACACTACCTCTTTCTCAACAAAATATTGTACGTTCACCTGGTGAGGTAAGTTAACGAAGATGTTAATTGTTTTACATTACTGTAAGAGGTTTGTATAGATTGTTAAATTCCTTAGTTTACATCACAGGTTGATCTTAGTGGGACAGTCATTAAAACCAGGAAGCCCTGAATAGCTTTTTTTCGTCTTATTCATAAATTCAAACTGCTAAGGAGTCTTAGCAACTGTCTAATGCCTTTTTGGTTTTAAATAGTTGCTTAACTAAGGTCAGTTCGTTAATTTGTTTTATAGCATGGAAAGTTTAATGTGAAATATTACTGAATTAAACATTTCATAGATTTTATTAGGGCCACTTAACATCCTCCTCTAAATGATTAAATCGACGTTCTTTTTAAAAAAAATCAATCTCAGCACGTAAAATGAGTGAATACCATTAAAATTAGTAACATTTATTAAAATTGTAATTTCATTGAAATGACGAACCAATCTAAGTTAGACAACCTGGAAGCACTGGATGCCCGTTTCACCTTAGTATGGGACTCAGCAGTACGCACCAATAACCCCGTAGCCGTAAGTCGAACTCAGGACCCTCTCACTGCGGGGCTGTGGGTGTTCATCTTTGAGGAGTCCTATAATTGAACGAAACAGTTTCCCAGTGCTTTCAGGTTTTCTAGCTTGGATCGGTTCTTTATCTCAATAACATTGGAAAATCTACACAACCCCATAGTGAAAATTATTGGGGAAATTGTCATTCTAGACTTATTGTATAAAAGTATTTATGAAAAAGAATCTTTCGGCTACCTCGTGGGAATCTTTCATGCTATTAGTTGCCTTGACGAAACCCAGACAAGAAACTTAAAAAGTCAAACACCATTGTGAAATAAAGTGAATTCATTTCATTTCGTCTCATATACTCTAAATGTTAAATGTCCGCAGAACAATTTTGACATAGTCATTAGTGTTAAGTATAGGCGAATAAATGGATAAGATGAAATTTTAAGAATCGTTTTATACGTAAGTTATTAATGATTCTTTTTATTGTATGTTTATCAAATATTTTGTTTGCTGTATTGTTTTGCTGTCCTAATTGTAAGCTTTCATTTAATTCATTAACTACTGATATATATTTTACCGCTGACAAATGACAGTTAAGTATGTACATGCTATACTCAGTTTTGTACTTTAAACGATGTCGCTATTTACAAGTTGTGACTTCGCATGTGTTGTACTCTTTTGTCTTATAATTAATATATATTATCGTGTAAGCTTTAAGTCACAAGGTATACAGAGTAAATCAGTTGGCTTTCATCCTTTTCTGATTGAGCTTGGTAGGAGTGGTCACTTAGTGGTTAAAGCGTCCATTTTCATTAACTACGTCCGGGGTTCAAGCCCCACTTCATCTAATTTGGTTTGGGTAGCAGGATAGTATCATTAGCCGTCACACTGGAGGTGTAGTTTATATCCAATTTGGAAAACTAGTTGATTTGTAAATTTAAATTAGTTGGGAACAGAGAGAGTTGTGCAGGCCAATCGGCGTCAGCATATTTGGTGAGCACAGCAGGCAAAGCGAAGGTCATTAGTCTTATTTGGTTTGAAGTGAACACATCATTAGTATCGATCAGTGTTCCTATTGAGTGGATATATAGTTGAATTTATAACAGTTATGTTTTTGATAAGTATGTTATTTTAAATTAATAACTGCGGTGATGATCACTTCAGTCTGTTGTCTGAATATAATGATTCCTATAACGACACATAAGAACAAGTAAATAATTCAACTTATCAACAACTAGGCAAAGGATTGTAAACTCAACTTGGAGCTACATAATATTCTCCCAGGTTAGTATAATACTACTTACCTGCCTAAATCAAATTAGATAGGGTAAGTTTCTTCTGATAAATAAACAAAATGGTTGAGAGTTGAGATCTTTGACTATTAAACTTTTGTCTTATTATAGAACCATAGAGCTGGTTATACATTTTTACAAACCATTTCTGGTTTATATAATAAACTCATTATACTTCAAATCAGTTAATTACTTTCGCCAATAACCGATTACTGATGTTCAATATCTATAATAATGGTTTGATCCTATTAATGCCAGTCAGGATGATTGTAGGACTATCACTGGTAGTAAACTTTCTTAATAGTGCAATAATAGTGTCTGTGATTATGTTAAATAGATTATATTTCTCCATATCAGTCTCTTCAATTCAGTCTGTGTGATTATAGTGCTATTTGACAAAAGAAAGATAAATTTTATTCTAAAAATGGAAAGTATGTACTGTCTGACTCATTTTGTATTGTTTATTCGAATCTTCTAATTGATGTTTAGGACTTCAGTTGATCAGTCTCTTATTGGTATATGTGCACCTTGTGCGGATTGTCTCAATATATGGGAAGATTCAAAAAAATAAAACTTCACCCCATTGCACAAGCTAGTGAGTACCAGGACTCAGTAGCTAAGTGGATAACATGATTTCATTTAAAGCTAACAGTACTTGGTTCGAGTCTCGAAGTGAACAGGCACATTCAGCTGACGTCTGTTCCTTTGAGAGATTGAGCCTATCAGTGGTTTATGGTTCATCCCTTGAGAATGAGGGCTATTTCTTGGCTAATCATGTACACTTATCATTTAGTGATTTTTGATTGGCCCACTGTATCAGTCTGACAAAGTGTTACTTACTTATAAGATTGGATTATTGACTCAAGCCTCTCGAATAAACTGCATCAATGACAAGATAAGTTTTCCTATCTAAGGTAGTAGCATCCTTATGTACAAAATATTGAAAACTCAAACAAAAGTCAATTGAAACATGAGTGATTAGACGACACTGATTTCGTAGACCACACGAATACCAATAAATTGAAGACTTGACTCTTAGGCCTAATTTTTGCCTCTATATATCAGCGTTACACTTAGATTAATGTAATACAACTAAACTGTTCACTATCAAAGTAGATAAAATGGAGTTCTAGTTCGTAATCGAATGTTTTGATTGTTTAAACTGATCATTTTACTACAGATCAGAAATAACATTCTCAACATCAAACTAAGTGATATAGCATCTGGAAAAAATGTAGGAGCACTTATATCAATTGGTTAGTGAAATATTCTTAGTTGTTGAGATAAAGAATCCACATTTCACGCATATTATTATACATGTGTGCTTACATAAAGTTGGTATGAGTAAAAATGAACACTATTAAAAAAGAACTTTTTCCCCCTCTACTATCGTTTAAACTCTCAGTAAGGTGGAAAGTGGGATCTATTAGGTCAGTCTGAGTAATCGATCATTGATCAAAGATAGGCATGTCCAGCTAAACTAAATGTAGGAAACCATTAGTGGTGTCGTGTTTTCAAAGAATATGAAATCCCACCAAAAGCATTCATTTGTTATGTAAATCTTCCCCATTATTCCTGTAAAAGGCTATCCCATAAACTTTACTTACTGACTGTTTTATACGAACTCCCATTCTGGTCTATATTTGGTTATCAATCAAATGGTCGTATAATTGAGTGAATATATCACTAGTGATCTAGTGTCAAATACCAGAAACATGAACAGATCGATATGTTTCCTGTTATAGTAAATTTAGCGATGAGTATGGGTACTTTAATCGTAGAGCCACTACTTCACAAATCTGTCTGACGATATACTGCCATTCATAAATCGACCTCAAATCTCAGTATGAGACATTTTGTATGCTTCTACACGCTATGTTTTGCTACAGACCAGTTGCGCATCGGATAACTTTATAGTAGCATCTATAACTGTGACATTGAGTGCAATAGTTTACCAACTCCTTTCAAGATTACAAATACGCATTTATAATAACACTATGAAACCTAATTCACCAAACATAGCTTCCTACCAGTTGCCTATTGAACCACTTAACATGTGTACATCTCATTGCACAAACCATTGCTATGTTCATTGATTCCGGTTTTTGCATTATATCTAGTTTTCACACCTATCATTCTGTCAATTAATATCATACTGACTCAGTAATTTTTACCCTGTTTTCTTTTTTAATTATTATTATTAATCCTATGCTCATTTAGAATGACTCCTACTGTAATTTCTATGATGGAAGTGTGACAGGTGTTATTGGGAATGAAACCAGTGGGACTGTTGGAATCAATGTTTTACCATCATCTATTAACTCCTTATCGAATACGTTCAATCATGTAGATAATTCTTTATCAGTTAATGATAATTATCATGTTAATTACTCAAATGCGAACGATAATAATTCTTTATTCAATTCTAATCCATTATTGATTAACAATAGTACTAATCATCCAATCACCAATAGAAATCGAACACAATATTCTACCACCACTAATACCACTACTACTAATAATAATAGTGGATCTATTTTTATGGTAAATGAACCGCATATTTCCGCCTCTAATAATTCAGAATTACTGAATCCTTCGCGTTCAACAATTAATAATAATACTCAACATGGTTCCATTGAATTACCTTACATTCCGCCACTATATCATACAAGAGATAATAGGAATATCTGTAATAATAACAATAATAATAATAGCAGTCATAATAATAGTATACATCCACCGGGAAATTATGCACAACCAACATTTGTTAATCAAGGTATGTTGAAGTTATTATATTTGGTTTTACTTTAAATATTGTTCATACTTATTTATTCCAAGGTATGGATTCAGCTATTTTTAATGGTGATAGTGATAAGCTGGTAGGCTTCTTCTTCTATCTTCTTTAGAAGAAAGTAATGCTAACGTTATAGGAAGAGGAGAGTAGTAGTATACAATTATGATGGTGTGTGAAGTAAAGTTAACTGTATCGCCGCCTCTACACCATATAAGGTCAATCATTTATGAATCTTTTCCTAGATCTGATTTTCTTTTTGTTTCAAAGTACTTATTTTTCCTTAATTCATAATACTAAGTTTCTCACAATTTGTTAATACAAAATGGAAAAGAGAAGACATATTTTACAAAATTACACTTAAATAATCATCGTGTACCGGACATTTGGCATTAGCATTGTCATTAGATTAATTAATGTTTAGAATTTCGGTTAAAGTATACTTTATTGACAACTTTTTAGCGACCCTGAGCAAGTAAGACAAATTTTTAGCACTGGTATGGCTGAGAGTGGGTAGAGTACGCTCTCCCTCTCGAAATGCTCTCACATGGCTACGCGTATATAGCCTCCGCCAGGGAAGTCCTGCTCACGCTTTCTCGTCGCGTGGGTGTTGTTTACGAAATTGAGAGGACGAAAAGCGAATGTCCGGTGCTTTAACAGGGTTGGTGGACACGGAAAGTTCACCCAGGGGAGTTGGAAAACCCTGATTCTAAACCAATGATGCACATGGGCTCCAGTATCCTGAAGGGAACAAATGGCGTAGGAATCAATCGTTGATCGTCAGCTACCGTGGGACTGCATCTCCTTACGATGTTCCACTGTCTTGTGGATCAGACCTTTAGGTCGAAGGCTCCGGGTGTGGCCCTCTAAGAAGACCACCTGCTTTGGTTTTGGCACCTAGGCAGTATCACAGCCGTCACATAAATGAAATGAGATTTGTGTGGCACATATGTATCTGGCGCCCCTTTGTGCCAATATTTATGTGTTTAAATAAACAAAATAAATAATATTCAAAATTCATGTGATAGAAATGAATTAGGGATGGAGTGAGACAATGCTATGTAGCCATCAATTTATATCTACATGAATACTTGTGGTGTTAGTTGTTTCTTTAGTTTAAAACATTATGGACGCATAAGTCACTCTTAAAAATTCACAAATCTTGATTCCTACTTCTTATTCGTTCCTTATTTATTGGTACTAAACATCTTAATTACTAAATATTACTACGGTTTGACTTAGCTTTCAACAAGATGAAAGTTATCCGTCATCACGTTTTAAATTTCGTTCAAAAATCTAATGGCCACAGTTTTAAATCCGCTTGATTCATTAATGGAACATACTTTTATCCCAGTTACTACTAGGAAAATAAACTTTAAAAATTTTAAATAATAGATAATAATCTTCATTTCTATTAAAATATCAATCTTTTTCAAACTACCACTCGATTTTTTTAATTTTAGGTTCCAAACTGCTCTCTGTAGTTTTGGTTTTGATCAATAGGGTAGTATTACTAATAGTCCTCATACTAATTCCATGTGTTTTGAAACTCAGTATACTAATATGTACTTTATAAATGTGTTACACTACATTTAAATCGTATCACTTAATTTTATCAACTTTCATTTTTAATCATCATACAATATTTCATGATGTGTAAAGGCTTGTCTTTGAACATTACTGATTGATTACACGAATGTTTCCACATAAAATGCAATTCAATTAACATGTTTCGGTGACTTGGAAGTTACTATTAAGCATTCAATTTTCAACCATTGGGTCCCAGTTTCAAGTCCCTCTCTGCATATTTCAATTTGTATAGCCAGATAGTATTGCTAATTCTCAGTAGAAGGTATGCGTGGGGTTCCAGCTTTTGATCATAAATGTCTTTTAAGCACTACTTACTTATCGTGGACCGAGTGAGTAGAGTTAGGCATAAGGTACTAAGGAAAGACGAGAATTTGGTCGATAAGATTATGAATCTCCATCAACTGAGGTGGCTGAAACATATAATACATATTCCCAGAGATATCCATTACCTCAACATCCAATGAAAACTGAAGTAGTATTATGTTGAAAGAAAGCTAATGGTGTCCAAACCAATACATGACACCGGTTCATAAAGCCGTTGACTGTTTGTTTTAGTCATATTTGTAGGTGCGGACTACCTGGTTAGGTTCAACAGGATAAATACTACCAGTAGTTGGAGACTCTAGATAGTAAGGCCAATCACAACAGCACAGAGCTATGTATCCTTTATCTTCCTCGAGATGTTAAATTCCATCATTCCTTCGTACATATCTTTTCATTACGCCTCTTAGAACTATACTATGAATGTTCAGTCATTCTGATCATCGTTTTTACTATGTTATTTCGATTCTTTTACTATTCATCTTGTTGATTTCATTTTACCGTGCTAATGTAATATGGCAGCTTGTACTTATGTATAATTTTGATTAACCCTCTCTCTCACACACACATACTCATGTACAAACAATGATTCTTAAAGCCGAGTAATAATAATAAATATTGATAGTAGCTGGATGCGAAGTTCTCTTTATTTAACAATCAGATTGTTTCACTTCGTGTGATGCAAACAAAAACAAAATAGAAATAGACCGTAGACTAACTTTCAGTTGAAATGTCGTGTACTCTGGCGAGACAGAGTTCTCTAGTGCTTCCTGACTTCAATTTCTGACGTGAACTATGAAATTCCAGTTCATGATCCGACTTGAGAATTAGTTTGTGATATTTATTATTTACTACGGGCGAAAGACACTAAATGTCACAACAACAACAAATTAAACTTTTTTAATGTTCCATTTATGTGAAAATTTGAAAATCATAGTGATTAATTATTATTAGTTAAAGAAACTGATCGATTCAATTCTAAATATTAACTGTTCTAGAAACACACACATTTCAGCGTACAAAAGCGTTTTAGAGGGTTTTCTAACGTTCTCCTGATAAGCACTACCTAAATGATCTTCGAAACCTACCACATTCCCTAAAATCTAAACTGTAAGAACCATCGTCATCGTTATAATAACATACTCTACAACGAAACTGCAAAACTTGTTGTCTTGTTAAATTTATATCTATATTTATACAAACACATAAACATTGGTACAAGGAGGCACCAAATAGATATTCGCCACACAAATCAATCGATTTATGTGAGGGCTGGGGTACTGCCCGAATGCCCAAACCAAAGCAGGTGCTTTCCTTAGGAGGCCACACCCGGAGCCTTCGACCTAAAGGTCTAATCCACAAGTCAGTGGAGCATCGTAAAGAGATGCAGTCCCACGGTAGCCGACGACCAACGATTGATTCATACGCCACTTGTTCCCTTCAGAATACTGGATCCCATGTGCATCATTGGTTTGGAATCAGGGTTTTCCAACTCCCCTGGGTGAACTTTCCGTGTCCACCAACCCATTTAAAGCGCCGGTGAGTAGGATTTCCCTGGAAGTAGTTGTATGCACGTGGCCACTTGAGGGAATTTCGAGAATGAGAGCGGACTCTTCCCACTCTTGACCGTACCATGGCATTCGGGGGCTCTTGTTAAATATCTTATCTTATGTTCAGTGACATGTAGTGTCCATTTCCCGACAGTCTATCACGTAAGTTCGGCCTTTAAAAATTTAACACGACACTGATGTAGATATTGCATTAACTGTCTAATGTTTAAAAATCACAACTTCCAATCTCTGGACGACAGATTGAAATTTTAATTCTGTTTTATCAGTCCGAGTAACCGCGGGTAGTATCATTAATCTTCATATGAAACACTCAGCTCATAACCAAGCATTTAAACCACTTGTATTTAGTAAATTAGTTTATTCAAACACTGATTGAATCATTAAATATGTATATCTCCATTTAAAGGAAAGCGGCTCAGAAGCATTTATAGTACGAATTGTTAATTTAGCTGACAACTAGTGTACTGTGTTAGTAATCAAGGTCTGTTGAAGATCTGAGCTACTATGCTTTGTATTTGATCACCACTTAGGAATTCATTCATTTGAATAAATTACCCCTATATGATTTATGTCCTCTTCATCTGAATCGGCTCAATAATTACATATACTAGATCAGTTGCTTCGTGAGTAAAACTCGATTTTCTAACCTTCCTTCACCTACTTAAATGTTAACAGTCGGGTAGTATCAGTCTTTAAAGCCTTTAGAGTACAACCAGGTAGTATCAGTAGATCTCATATTTAGAGTTTGACTTATATCCAAGTACCCAATGAACAAGTTAATTATTTGTTATACGACTTATATAAAATATACCAGTAATTCACGTTTTCTAATCAATAACCACAATATAGAGTGAATTTACCTGTCTCAAAGGCGGAACGGTAATGAAGTGCTTAAATCACTCATTTTTTACTTACTAAGTCCCAAGTTCAAAATCTACTTTATCGAATTTCCACACAGATTGTATTACTGCTAATTATGCGAACCTGTACTCGGTAAATAATTTACACTCATTCACCTCTAATCAATATGGGTAGTAAATATCTCTTTATGAGACTACACCAAGTCTTTAATCTTCCTATTATTTCATAGTTGAAAGCGTAAGTCAATTGAATCTGGACCACCAGGGAAAACCTGGAAGCACTGGACGGCCGTTTCGTCCTATTGTGGGACTCCTATTATTCTTTACATGTATTCAACTTCAATGTAACTGATTAGATCATTCATAATTTTCAAATATTCTAATTTGATTTTAAAGAAAGAGAGTAATGCCGCTTTTTATTTTCCTGTTAATTATTTTTAATTCTTGTTTCAATTGTTTTGTCTTTATCTTTATAGTTTTTAATGAACAATCATCTGATCAATCATCGCCTAATACAAGTCGATTCAGTTTTATTTTTTCACCATTAGATGTTAGCGCACCGCATGCATCACAAGAGACATTAAGTACAGCTACATCACAAACATCTATTCCTTTTCTTGGTTCACCATCTAGTCCAAGAGGTTTTTCATCATCTCAATCTCACAACAACAGGGATCCTCCAATAAATGATTCATCAGCACCGATCAATTATGAAACTAGTGACTATTGTATTAGTCGAACTGGTACTATGCTACCATCAAATCGTATATCCAATTAAAAATAATACATTATCATTTCTATATTATTGTTAGTTAGTTTGTCTTTGACAAAATATTTCATCATTCAGACTATGACGATGACTACTAATTACTTCCAATATGTTTTCATACATTTATGATACAATATATACGTGATATTGAAAAGGTTTATTCCAATTAATTGTTTCATTATCTTCAACTTTATTTGTTTTCATGATTAGCATTTGTTTATCCATTGAAAATGAGCAAAACTTTTCGGTTGTATCTAGGTATGTATGTGTGCGTGTGTGTGTGTGTGTGTGTGTACGTTTTTACAATTCCTGTTTGTATACAGCTCTATTATTTTTTGTTGTTGTTCATGTTCTTGTACACACTGTAGATAAAGGATCATATTTTACGAAAACATACACATTCAAGACTAATAATTCATTTGCATATCTATTATACCAATTCTCTTTTTTTTTCTGTTTATTACTCATCATTAACATTCATGTACACTTAATTGTTCCTATGTCAATTCTTTTACGTCTATCTTTATATATGTGTGTATGTGTTTTTGTACTCATTCATATCCATTTTTTTCCTCGATGTATTGATAATCTAATTTCTGTCTACGGTGAATATATGTTTCTTTCATGAATGGTAGACTTTTTTTTATTTATCAATAATACTTAATCAATTCGTTTTACACTTTATTTTCTCATCTCAATGCTACCGAGTGGTTGTTATTATTACTATTAATATCAGTATTCTCAAAGGTTCATGTTCTCATATGTGTATTTACAGAAAATTGTAATAGGTAATATGGTTTTTCCTAGTTCATTGATTCCAGTTGTAAAAGAAATTGAACCCAATAATTCATTATTTAAATCTAAATTGCCTTCTCTCATGTATATGTATACAATATAGGTTATATTTTTATCAAATTTCCATTTGATCATTTCCTTGGGTGAAGTTATCTTCAGTGTTCCCTCCATCATTGGTAACATTTTCTGTCTTTATTCAATTTATTGCCTTACATATAGTTCTGTTTTTGTTCATTTTTGTTTTCTCCATAATGTTTTTTTTATATTAAGGTTTGTTGTTACATTGTTCTCTCTTTCTTTCTGTTACTATGGTAACGTTTTTCACTTCAGTTTCAGGTTACAGATGTGTACTAGGAAGAAGTGATTGAGTTATTTTCATTCCATAATTCGTTTTATGTGAACATATACCTGATATCTAATTTGTGGATCCTTATACATATATATACGTGTATCAGTTTGTGTTTCCATCTGATCGGTATGTGGACTTTAGTGTTTATGCAAATGTTCCACTGTTTTATATGATGAAAACGTGTTATTCAACATTTGACTGATATTTATATATATATATATATATGTATCTATTTGTAATGTCTTCATTTTGCTTACTACTTATTTAGTTAGTCACTTAAAAATCTCTCGTGAAATAGTCTTCCTATTTGCTGTTCTAATTTTTCGTTTTCAGATTACTTGTTTAAATCTACTGACGCCCCAACTGAGTATATTACAATTAAAGAAGAGACATTTTGTCAAATGTGCATTCCGTTGTTCAGATGAGTTGAATAATATCTATCTGAACTAAGTAGATAATGTTTTAAGTGTTTGGAGCAAAAGGTCCCAATGTTAACATCAACACAACATTTATTTGACGAGTCCAAAACAGAACAAAACGTGCGAACTGGATTTTACTGCTAGCCATTACCCAACTTTACTTAAAATCTTATAATCTCATGACAATATTGAGGCGATTTGTTCTGCATACAAATTTCAAAAGAGGCCAATCAATTACAGTCTTTAACATTAACAACAGGAAAATTTAAACCCTTACAAGTGAAAATATCCTTCATTAATTTTAACAAATTTCGGAGTACATATATATTGTTCATACACTCAGTTTTAGAACCTCATGTTCTAAAAGCAAGCGCTAGTAATGGTAGTCAACTATTTAAACAGAAATGTATGGAACAAGTTTCAAATGCAATACCCGAAAGTTGGATACTTCACTCACTACATCTCGCTTACTACTCTGTCTACACTCCACTTTATACATGACAGAGTGATACATTGTGTATATACAGTTCAATTCACAAATATGTAATTAGTCGAATTGTGTATTGATGATGTTATGTAAACGGAATTTCACTCATTTCTGTGATTACGTAAAATAAAGTTTTAACTTAACCTAGAATTCAAGTTGCGAAATCATCTATAAATGCTAAACTGTAACGTCATTTTCAGCCACTGATTAATAAAAAATAATTCAGTGTGACAAATAAGTAGTTGGTCAAAAGTGATAAACCAATTTAATCTAACGTTTATAGCTTCAGATAACTCAACACTGATGTTTATTACTCACTCCAGGCAAAATAGCTTGACGTGTTTTCCTACATACTCAACAAAACGTCTAGTTAGTATACAAAATTAAACTCTAGAAGATTTATCTATTTGTACATTGTATTCGTCGTGGATTGCCATCGGTTGGGGTACAATTGAAAGTCAGAAAGCACTAAACGGTCGTTTTTTGACATCAGACTCTTTAGATGTCGTCCGTACCAAGGGTCGGACACATGTGGTCTCTTAGAGAGCATTTTGTCTTTAGACCACTGGGTTAGATTCTCATGAACCACATCAGCTCCCAATACTGTTCGACGATTATTCATATGCTTTCGGTGAAGATTATTTCGCTTTACGCATAATTGAACTCCAATTGTCAACTTTTCTTACTGAAACTTCAGAAAGTTATTTTGAAACTTGTCACTAGTGTACATCCGTTTAATCTGAAGCTTTACTTGTCACAGATTAACATCATGAACATTCACTACTGAATGGTTCTATGTCTCCCCCCAGAAATAGCTATTCAGTACTGTCTCATTTTCAATTCCACCCCAACTGATTTCAATTTATGACCAATATAAACCCGTTAAGAATTGTGTTCATAACTTCCATGAACACATATATAAACCAATTAGCGTGGGGTTTGATTGGTTCATATATCCAGCTGGAAGCTAATCACTGAATAATTATCGTACTATATAGCGGACTGGTTAAACTTGGAGATGTAAACTATTGTTTAAAAAATCCTTATGCAGTTATGTTTAGCCGAAAGATATATCCCTGTCTTATACACTCATATTTAATCATTCACTTAAATATTTCTATCTTCTTTGATTTATCAACTCTATTTTGAACTAAGCCAGATATTAACTGAAGATAATGTGATTGTGTCCACTTACTAATATCTTACAATCTCAATCAAGACTACTACATATATATTTAGTAGTCTACATATTTTAGTGACGTTTGGATGAAATCATCCGTTTTTCACCAATATTATCGATCGATACATTTCTGAAACAGTACATATCAAATCATTCTCTAGTTACTTTTATAAAATTACTATCTAGTGATCGAATGACGTTTAATTCATACTCAATATTGGGTACATTAATGTACTAGATGTGTGTGTGCGTGTGAGTGTAGAAATGGAAGCATTATCTTAGAATAATTCCAAATAAACACGTTTATTGAAAGGAAAACTACTTGAAAGTGAACAACGTTAATTGTATATAAGTTAATTAAGTAGAATAATTATCCTCTTAAAATTTCATAAATTAGATTAATAAAAGTGAGTTACATTTCCATCAATTTAGGCTTTATACTAATCAACTCTTTGATTTAATAGTCGAATTCATGAGTCGATTAAAGCTAGACCATCATTGAAAACTTGGAAGGCCGTTTCGTCTTAGTATGGGAATCCTCAATAATGAACACCCACGATCCTGTACTCGAGACTCGAACCCAGGACCTTGGGTCTTGCGTGCGAACGATTTACCCCTAGACTACTGAGCCAGCATCCAACGATGTTAATTTAAATCGACTAACTGGGGTTGCGCAACCTTCCATCCATTGTCTGAAGTGGATAACTGTGTCCACCCGACATGGATTGGATTCCACTGGTCACGGTTTCTCACTAGAACTCCAGGAAATACATCTTGAAGCCAGTAACTAGTTAGCACATAATGATTGTTATCCGATTTGGGGATTTTGTGGAGATTGTAGTAATTTAATAGTTGAATTCATGAGTTGATTAAAGATATACCACCATTGAAAACCCAGAAGCATTGGACGGCCGTTTCGTCCTAGTATGGGACTCTTTAATTTAATATTAGGATGTTCATAAACTGGCAAATCTTCACAATCTCTCTAAGTTAATATGAGGGTAAACACTATATATATATTCGTAAAAATATTTAGGTTGTTGGTCTATGAAACAAGCGTTTAAAGGGGACATGGTGGGTAATATTTTTACACATCGACTTAGCAGATCTACTGAAAAGATCTTTTACGCTGCTAACGTGCATATAAATTTGTCAACTAAGCCAGTACTTGGACAACGAATCAAAGATAGGATACCAATGATGAACTGTTCCATATGTGTATGCCAATCAATCTAACTGGTTTCGCGGAGCTAGCTAGGCCGTACTCAGTGAGCCTTATCCTTGCATGTATGTGAATATGTGCCAGAGTGGTTAGAAAAAAGAATCACGAAGTCGATCAACAGCACAATAGTTTCGCACTTAGTAGATAGCGAATATCACATTGAAATGGTTGAAGCCTCCCAGGTTCTGTATCAAGTCCCGAAAATTTTACCTAAAGAAGTAAAATTATGGCTACTTTTCAAAGCGAAAGCCATCAGAATTCACTCCAAAAAAATGAACCAATCTATCTGGAAGAAGTATATCCTACGGTTGAATCATTCCATACTTAAAATATATAATAAACCCTTACCTAATCTTTATTTTCATCTCTGCATCTTATTTTTCATTACCACATTCGCGCTTCTCAATTTACATGAACTTTTTATTTCAATTACACTTCTCTTATTACATATTTGCTTCACAGGACTGGATTATTATTGTTATTTTTAGCATTTCCCCTACTGTATATTTTTTTCACAAGATTTATTTCATTGTAATTCAATACTATATAACAAGTTTTCCTACCCATTTTGTAAAATGACTGATACAAAAGTTCTGGTTCGTTATCCATTCTTGTCACTCATTGCGATCTGTTCACTGTTATGTCCTTATACCCTGTTGATTATCACGTAATACGATCGTCAATTAGAACACCAACTTGCTGACCAACGACGCATAAACTAGTACAAACAGCACAGAGCCACTCTGAGTTCCTATTGGATCTCCGAGTTAGTAGTCTCTCACCTAACCCATCCGATTCAGTCCAGAATACCAGTATCAGTCATGTATTTCAGATATACTTGATTTATACACTAGCAGATCAGACCGCATCATAGAATAAAAATAGAGGATAACAATTAAACAAAATCAGGCCAAAAAAGAGTTGTGTTCGTGAGATACTGTAAATAATAAATTGTGGATAACTTAAGAATAGTAAATCGTATAGTGGTAGTCAGTAGGTCAAATGGAAGCTTATAATAAAAGGAATATATATATTCTTCGTCCGGGTATAACACTCACCATTATAGGACTAACCTACCCGGTCAAATCAAATCATACAACTTCGTTAAATTAGTTTATTCGATTTCACACTTATAATACTATCTTATCCCTGTAATTTGTAATGTTATTTTAGGATGGACAAGTGTTTGATACCTGTATGATATTGTGTTCATCCCAAAACATGAAAGTCACTGAATAGATACCGTATTAAATCAAGGATTTGCTTTGATTATAATTATACTTAGCTGTGTTAAAAATAACAATACATCACTTTCTGACAAATGAACTATTCAGTTCAATGATCTAAAATGGTTCAAATATTTCTGTTAAGAATAATATGGATACTGATTTCAGTTTAGCCATTCTTTTTTTTCTTGGCTCACTCTTCTTTTTCACTGATATTGTTGTTACTTTCTTAACGGTCACGCATTTCTTAATACACATTTCCAATGTTTATTTAATCTATTCGCGTTGGCACATGATTTCAACTAATCAATAATAAGTACTACTTGTATTTTTCATCATTCCTTTCATTCGATAAATGACCTGTCTGTCTAACGACCACTAATAGTAATAATAATACTTGCTATATGTGTAGGTGTGAGTGCCAAATGTAACGTTGAAAAAATGGATTATATATGAAACAAGTTTTCACGTCACTTCTTCAAACTATGATTATATTCATTGGAATTCCTTTTACATAAAATGGATGTATCTCATTACAGAGAAACACTCTTTTACTAAGTGTCTTATGAGTGTAATGTCATTTAATCAATAAAAATTCGTCCATAGTTTCTTTGTAAATTCCAGTTAATTCATTACACAGTATGATTATTATCATTGAGTAACTTCCTCTTCTTACTCAGCTTCTCAAAACAACCATGTCATTGATTAGTTCTCCTAATTCAGAAATAAACAATGAGAACTCTCTTCTTCCATAGAACAAATATTCTATTCACAATATATAGGCATGATTTATAGATCCGCATGAATGATATGATCTGTGGTTTAATTCAGTTAATAATACACCCTAACTACCTATAAGTAAAAGATAGTTAGTGAAAATTTACACCAAATGAATGAATACTACTTACAAGTAAATTGCATTCATAGCTAATCAGATTAACCGAGATAGTCCATTTGTTCATTATCACCAGCCTACACTTCTCTCTAACTTACTACATATCCTTGAAAATCAATTGTTTAGCTAAGTTTAGTCTGTTTTGCTTGGTAAATCGATTGCACTTAGAACACAGTATCTATCTTTTTTAATTAGCCAGCATACTATTTAATTCATAATGATCTGTAGTCAATAATTGGAACTATCACACTACATAGGTTGATTTATAGGCTTTCTGTCAACAATAGTTCTGAAAAATTCCTGTCTGACTACAAACAACAAAGTATTAAATAATGAAGATCACGCTTTTTTCAGAATTATCACTTGTTAACAATGCCTTACACACATTTTTGTACCCCATTTTAATACGTTACTGTGCAGCTGTTTCTGTCCTTGTTATTAAAAGAGTATTAAGTGATTGATTTGACTGTTGTATTTTTTATCATTGAATCGTTTGAAGCTGAATAAACATATTTAAGGTATAAAAATAATTGAAATCATGAGTCAATTGAAGCTAGGCCACCATGGAAAACCTGGAAGCACTGAACGGCCGTTTCGTCCTATTGTGGGACTCCTCAGTAGTGCGTATCCACGATCCCACCTCACGAGATTCGAACCCAGGACCTATCAGTCTCGCG